GACCTGATCGCGCGTGGGGGGGGGGAGCCACGAGGCGCCGCCGCGGCGGGAAGCGCCGCCGGACACGGACACGCCACTACCCTCACTTTGCCTCATCGAGGAGGGCGAGGACCTTGCCGATCCCGATGGTCGACCCCTCGTCTCTGAGCGTGAAGCGGCCCATCTGGGGGCACTGCTCGAACGGCTCGAGGCAGACGGACTGCTCAACCTGCAGGGACTCGTCTCGGACGCGTCATGGACGTGTCCCGGACGTGTCATGGACGTGTCCCGGACATGTCGAGGCAGGCGGACTGCGATACCTCGATGACACACGTGACGATCGCCCCAGACTTGACAAACATGGGCGGCTTCTTGGACCGCTGCCCCGTCTTCTTGTCGATGCTGCTCGTCAGCCGGACGATCGTGCTCTCCTGCAGGACATGTCTCGGACATGTCATGGACGTGTCCCGGACATGTGCAGGCTGCTCGTCAGCCGGACGATCTCCTCGGCGGAGGCGTGGACGTGCAGGATGGCGGTGTAGCCCGCCGAGAAGATCGACTTGTGCTCGAGCAGCTCGACGATCCGAATCTGCGCCTCGAACAGCTTCACGGCGGGGCAGGCGAGGCCACCGCGCGGCGCAACCACAAAGCCGGGCATGATGTCCTCGTCGGAGATGTCCTTGAGCTTGACGCGCGCGTTCTCGCCGCCGATGAGGTACGACACCTCCTCCTGGTCGAGCCACAGCTGGAGCACCTGTCAACAAAAAAGAAACCGGCGTGAGGCAGACCCCGCGCGCCGTGAAACAGAAGTCGAGCGGCCGACCGCTGGAGCGCCTCGACGGTCACGCGGTTGGGCATCACGCAGAGCTTGTCGCCCACCCGGATGGTGCCCTGCTCCACCTTGCCCTCGACGATGGTGCCCATGTCCTTGTACCTGCAAGGGGAGAGATGGGGAGAGATGGGGAGAGGTGGGCAGAGAGGGGGGAGAGATGGCCCAGGTCCTTGTACTTGGAGAGGATGGGCAGCCGCAGCGCGCTGTCCCGGTTGCGCTCGCAGGCCGGCAGCTGGTCGAGCACCTCCAGGAAGCAGGGCCCGTCGATCCAGCCCGGCTCGGAGAATGGCGCGATGACGTTGGCCGCGGTGAGCGCCGAGATGGGCACAAAGACGACGTCCTAGGTTGGTGGGGAGACGCCAGCCTCGGCGCGGGGAGGCGGTCTTGTGCCGTGTGTTTCAGAGCGCCGCGTGACTACGGGCAGTGCAATGCAGCGGAATACCGCGGAAGATTCCAAGCTGAATACGTGCCCTAGGGGTACATGAACACGTATTCCGCTTCTACGGACGCCGTCCTTCTTGACGTTGTACCCGCAGCCCTTCAGGAAGGGGGACAGCTTGTCCTTGCACTCCTCGAAGCGCTCCTGAAAGACAGAAAGCGGAGATCCCAAGCTAGGGCCGGGCCGAGGACAGACACGTCCCCGCCGTCGCAGCAGTTTGCAACAGCGAGGGGGGAGGGGGCGCATCGCGGCGTGGAGAGGGCTGGGCACGCGGCACAGGCTCGAGGCGCTCCTTTGACCACTTCACCGTGGGGTCATCCATCTTGTTGATGACAACCACCTAGAAGGGACCCGGAAGGCTCCCGGAAGGCTCCTAGACGGCTCGTCTCCCTTGTGCGCGGCGGCCCCCACCAGCAACCGCACGCCGAGCGTCTTTGCGAGCAGCGCGTGCTCGCGCGTCTGCCCTCCCCGCTCGAAGCCGGTCTCGAACTCGCCCTTGCGAGCAGAGATGACCAACACGCCGACGTCCGCCTGGCACGCGCCCGCAATCATGTTTGGCACGTAGTTCTTGTGGCCCGGCGCGTCCAGGATCGTGTAGCGCTTCTTCTCCGAGTCGAAGTGGGCGCGGCCGACCTCGACCGTCTTGCCCTTGGCGCGCTCCTCCTCGTTGGTGTCCATGATGAAGGCGAGGAACCACGAGTCGCGGTTCTTCTCCTTGGCCTCGGCCTGGTACTTCTCGATCGTGCGCGCGTCCACCTGGTTGGTCTGGTAGAGGATCTGCCCGCAGAAGGTCGACTTGCCTGCGTCGACGTGGCCGATGAAGACCAAGTTTAGGTGCTCCCTCTCGTCGCGCGCCTCGTCCTTTGCCGGCTCCGACTTGCCCGCCGCAGCCTCCGGCTCGGCCGCTGCAGCGGGCGCAGCCTCGACCGCCGCCGCCGCCGCCGCCGCCGCCGCCGCACCTCCGTCCGCCGCGCCCGCCGCCTCTGCCGTCTTGAGTGCTTCCATCTCTGACGTCGGCGGTTCGGGCGCCGTCTCCTCTGGCATAGTCGCGCTCGCCGTCTCCCAGCTGGAGGCCGCCTCGCCCGCCTCGTCGCCGACCGGCGCGCTCGCGGCCGCCGCCTCCGCCGCCGCCGCCTCGGCTGCAGCCGCCTCCGCCGCCGCCCTCTCGTCGGCCGCCTTCGCCTCTGCAGCCTAGGACGTGTCTAGGAAGTGTCTAGGACGTGTCTAGGAAGTGGCCTTGGCGTCTGCAGCCTAGGACGTGGAGACGCCACCCTCGGGGCGAGGGGGACGGTCTTGCGCAGAGTCTTCAGAGCACGAGGGGAAGACGAGGGGGTACGAGTGCAGTGAAGTGCAGTAAAGTGCAGCGGAATTCGGCCGAGTACAGCGGAGTCCGTCTCCTCTCGGGCGCTGGTTGGGAGACAAGAGCCCCGGACTCCGCTTCTAGGCGAAGGCGCGCCTCCGCCTCGGCTGCCGCCGCCTTGGCCCTGCGCTCGGCTTTCTTCTGCGCCGCCTAGGAAGCGTCTAGGAAGTGTCTCGGAAGTCGCTTGGCCCGGCGCTCGGCTTTCTTCTGCGCCGCCTGACGCTCCGCCTCGGCGGCCGCCGCCTTGGCGCGCGCCTCCGCCTTCTGGATCGCGCTCATCGGCGCCGCCTCCTGCGCCCCGCCCCCCTTTGCCGCCCCGCCCCGCCCTCCCTTGCCGCCCTGCGGCGCGCCGCCCCGGCCGGCGCCGCCCTTGCCGGGTTGGCGCTGCTGCTGCGGGTCCTGCGGGTGCTGCTGGCGCTGCTGCGGGTACTGCCCCGGCGGGTGCTGCTGGTACCCGTACGGCGGCTGCCCCTGCTGCCCCTGCTGCTGGTACTGCTGGTATTGCTGGTGCATCCGCTGCTGCTGCTGCTGCTGCTGCCCCTGCCCCTGCTGGTACTGCTGGTACTGCATGTACTGCTGCTGCTGCTGCTGCTGCTGCTGCATAGACGGGTGCGGCGGCCGCTGCCCGTACAGCCCCACCTGCCCGTACTGCTGTGCGTACTGCTGCTGCTGCTGCTGGCCGCCCGGCGCCTGCCCGTCATTGCCGCCGGGCACAAACGAGCCTGCGGGGCAGGGAGGGGCAGGGGGCCGGTGAGCGGTGCGCTTCGGGGCGCATCCGCACGCGCGAGCCCACGCAGCGCCTGCCGCGGGGTTGAAGTTGAAGGTTGGCGCCTGCAGCGTGCGGAGGCGGCGGTGAGTGGGAGGCGGCGGTGAGTTTTGGCGGCGATGCCCGACCAGACGCTCTGAGGCTCGCACGCCGCGGGAGTGGGAGAGCGCCGCTGGGGGTAGAGCGGTTGGCTGGTAGAGGAGGCGAACGCGGCGGGGCGCGCACGTTCGGGTTCATATGTGTCGCGGTGGCGAGCTAGGACACGAGGAGGTTCGCGTATCCCGAAGTTTTTCTCTTTTCTTGTCCGCCTGTTGTGTCTGTGTGTCGCTCGTGCGTGTCGTCATCATCTGTCTAGCGTCCACCCATACCGCGTTGGTGTCCAGTCCGAGCCTGGCTGTTCTTCACCTTTCTACCTACCTACCTAAGCTAGGGTGCCCACAGGACCCAAAAGAAAATAGCTTTCCGCCTCAAAAAGGGACGCACGAGGCAAATCTGATGTTGGAGTGTTCCAATAGGAGCGAGGCCTCTTCCGTTGGGGGACCGAGCACATAGGAAACGAGGGTTTCCCATTGTGACCCGCTCCAGTGCGAGCGTGACACTGCACTTGGCGCCGAGCGCCCGCGGCTCAGACCTTGTGCAAGCCACCCCTCGGTGGGCACGCCGGTCCGGACCGATGGCGCTCGGTGTGGAGCAAGCAAGACCCCCCCCCCCCCCCCATCGGCGCGCGCTCGCCATTCCAACGGCCGCCAGGAGCACCAAGAGGACTCCTCATGGCTGTGCCCAAGTGGGCTTCGACCGGCCTCGGCTGGGGGGGCGGGTTGTCCCGGTTGCGGACGCGTTCTGCAGCCCCCTGGGCGTGGGTCAGCACCCCAAAACTGCCCCTCGGCGGCATACAGCACTGCCAGCCAGCCTCTTCCTCCTCCTCAAGGGCTGTACTATAGGCCATATTGCGCCGCCTCCTACTGGCAGCCGGGCGGGCGCGCGCCGCGGGCGCCTCGGCGCGCGCACGGCTCGCAAAGTTCGAACGAGTACTGCCGCCCGGCCGCCTCAAGGCTGCCGGACGGCAGTACTCGCCTCGCAAGGCGCGTACCGGCTGCTCTGGCTGCTGCGCCGGCGGCCGCTGCGCTGGCCGCTGCTGCGCCGGGTGGCGGGCGGTACGGCCGCCGGCGGCCGCTGCACCCGCGCCTTCCCTCGCGGGCGCCGTCGCGCCGCGCGCGCCCAACTCTGCTGGTGCACGGCACGCGTCGTCACACAGCCGCGGAGAACAGGCGATGCTGTGCGTGAAGCGCGCGCGATCTCGTACTTTTAAGGCTGGATCCGGCCATTCCAAGGGTATACCTTTGAGAATCCCCAGCGTCCCTCCCTCCTAGTCACACTCTCAATATCTCGACTCTCCAACACGAAGTGCTGCGATCGGGGGTGGCCCAGTTCTTTTTTCTTTTCTTTTTTGGGGTCCTGTGGGCACCCTACCTAAGCCCTACCCACCCGCACTCGATTTTCACCTAGGTCCTAGCTTATTCCAGGCATGCCGCCCAGCGTCCGCTGCGCATCCCCGGCGGCACGACGGTGGCCGGCGCTTGCGCACCAGAGCCGGCCGTCCGCCACCCGGGGTCCGGGGCCGCGGTCCCTGTCATAGCTACGCGCGCCATGGAGAACGGCGTCTGAAGAAATTTTGCACTAGCCGGGAGACCTGCATAGTCACTACGTAGACTGCGACGCGCCTCTCCCCTTTGGCCGTTCTCTTCTTTCTCATTCTCTGTCTTATATCTTTGACGGGGCGTCGACACTCACCGCTCGAGACTCACCGGCTATTCTTCGCTCGCGCCACGCTCTACTGCGTCTCGCGCGCGATCGCGAAGCGCAGCACGCACGCGCTAAAGTCGCGCGCCGCGATGCCGTTCGTGTTTCCTGCCGAGTCGAGATGGTGCCGCTCGTGGATCTCGTAGAGCGAGCGGACGAGGAGCGCCGCCCGCGCGCGGGCCGGCGCGGGGAAGAGCGAGTGGCTTGCCGGCGACCACGGCGCCGCTGCCCGCCGAACCAGCGCCGCCGCCTCGCCCGCGCCGCCCGCGGCGCGCCGCAGCGGCGTCGGCTCACCCTCGTGCAGGCTCGCGCCGCTGCGCAGCAGGGAGAGAGCGCGGGCGGCGGTGAGGGTCTCAAGGTGCGCGAGCGGCGTCCAGCCGCGGCTGGCGACCAGCCAGGCGGCGAGGTCGGCGTGTTCAAAGAGGTTTGCGATCTCCTCGGGCGTGCCGACGGGCGGCACCGCGGCGCGGGAGGCGCCGTAGGAGGAGAGGAGCTTGGCGACCTCGACGTGGCCCTCCGCGCACGCCATGAACAGCGGCGTGGTGCCATCCTGCTTGGCCTGGTCGACCGCTGCGCCGGCCTCGCAGAGCAGCCGGACGATCTCGACGTGGCCCTTGCAGCACGCCATGAACAGCGGCGTGACGCCTTCCGCGTCTGCTTGGTTGACCGCCGCGCCAGCGTCGCGCAGCAGCCGGGCGCACTCGATATGGCCCTCCTCGCACGCAACGAACAGCGGCGTGCGGCCTTCAGAATCCGCTTGGTTGACCGCCGCGCCAGCCTCGAGGAGCAGCCGGGCGCACTCGACGTGGCCCTCCGCGCACGCCATGAGCAGCGGCGTGTAGCCGCCATCCATGACTTGGCCGACCGCTGCGCCGGCGTCGCGCAGCAGCTTGGCGATCTCGAGGTGGCCCTTGTGGCACGCGATGAGCAGTGGCGTGGTGCCGTTGTCGGAGGCTTGATTGACCGCGGCGCCAGCCTCGAGGAGCAGCCGGGTGATGTCGACGTAGCCCTTCTGGCACGCGATGTACAGCGGCGTGACGCCACCATCCATGGCTTGGCCGACCGCTGCGCCCGCGTCGCGCAGCAGCCTCGCGATCTCGAGGTGGCCCTCCTGGCACGCAATATACAGCGCCGACGCGCCGCTGCCAGTCGTCGCCCCGACGCTCGCGCCGGCCTCGAGCAGCAGCCGCACCGCCTCGGCTTGCCCGTGACGAGCGGCCCAGGTGAGCAGCGTGTCTTGCTTCTCGGTGTCGAGCCGCGCGTTGAGCCTGCCGCGCGTCCGCCGCCCGGAGAGGAAGGCTCGCAGCGCGGCCAGGTCGCCCACCGCCAGCTCGGGCAGCAGAGTCGGGCTCGGGGCGCCGCTCATGCCGCCAGAAAGAAGAAAACTCTCAGCTTAGACGCGTCCCCTTGGGAACGCCTGCCCCTCGCGCGCGCGGGAACTCTCCCTGCACCGCCATCACGAACTTCTCGCGCGCGCACTTGAAATCTTTTTTCATAGGTGTGTGTAGTATAGGGGCTGTCGAGCCCGGACGACTTTGTGCAGCCTTCGAGTGCGACAAGCGAAGACTGCGATGCGCTGCAGTACGTGTGGTACAACGAGGCGCTGCTCACGGTGGCGCTTAGGGCGAACAAGGTTTATGGCGCCTGCTTTGAGGAGCGCAAGACTCACTGGCACGGCTGGCGGCACTCGACGCCTTGCAATTGGATGGAGCTGCACATTTTTGTGTGTGTATCTAGACACATGCGCCCGCTCGCACGAGCGGCTCGTCTCGCCCGTGCGTCCAAGGCGTCGCCGCACAGGGGCCGCCCCGTCAACCTCGCACTCTGCGAGAACGCAGAGAGAAATGAAAGCCGACCGGCCCCCACCCAAGTCAGTCAAGTCCGGCTCACGCGCCCCGACCGACAGAGAGGGCCAAAGTGCTTCTTTTTGTTTGTCTTTTGGCAGTGCGCGCCAGAAAGAAAGAAAGAAAACAGACAGCCCAAACGAGGGATGGGACGAGGACAAGGTCCCCACCTGCACGAGCAGGATTGGCAGTGCGCGCCAGTCCCGTAAAAATGCGCGGAAGGCGGACGCCGCGCTGCGAGCGGAGCGGCAGGCGCACCTCGGAGAGACGCGCGGACGAAAGGCGAGCGGCGCGGCGCGGCCAGATCGGTCGGCGCCGATGCTCAGCCTTAGCAGCGAGATGCAGTGAGAGGAGGACCGAACGCGGCCAACCCCAGTGCTCAGTGGGAGAGGGCCGGGCGCGAGGGCGCGTATGTATAGCTGGCTGGTGGGGCGCCGCGCGAGACGAGAGCGAGCGCGTGGAACACTCGTCTTGTCATGTACATCATGCCTCGAGGCTAGAATTCGCTGTGGAGAATTCTTTTTTTCAGCGCCCCCCCCCCCCTCTTGGCTCATGTCCGGCTCGCTCGCCACCTTCCTCCTCCTAGCCTCGGCGCCCGTCGCGTCCGCCGATGGTATGACGAGGCTTGGCCGCGCGCAACTCCGCCTCTCACGGGCGATTCTAGACGCGCTAGCATCGCCCGGGACGTCTGGGACTGCCAACGCCAGCCGCCCGAAGAGGCCTCGCCTCTTCTCGGGCCTAACCGGCAGGCGGACAGCGCTGCCGCCGCCGCCGCCTGCTCCACCGCCCCCTCGCTCGCTGCTACGGCGTGCGTTCGAGCAGCAGCTTGGCCGCCTCCGGTCGATCCGCTGGTGTCTCTTGCCTTTCGACCAAACGCCGCTGCTGCAGCTGCTGCAGCCGCTGGCGACGCTGCTCTCGTTCCGGCCTCCGTGCGGCGCGGTCGTCGCGCTGCTGCTGCACCGCCGCGTGCGCCGCCGCAAGTCGACCCTCGCCGACCCCGCGCGTCTGCTGCGGCGCTCGGGCTCAGCGCCGACGGCGATCGACCCTTCGGACCGCGACTACTGCGTGTACGGCAGCGTCCTCTCCGAAGCGGCGGCCGAGGCGGCGGCAGCGTGCGAGGAGACGGCCGCGAATGCCGCCGCCGCGGCGTCCGGTGACGATGCGTCGCCCGCCGCCGCCACCGACACCGACGCCACCGCCGCCGCCGCCGCCACCGCCGCCGCCGCTGAGCATGCACGCTCCCTCTGCGACGCCTTGTCGCTGACCGCGAGCGCAGAGAACCGCGCCACCTATGTCGCCGCGGCGGCGGAAGCGCTGACGCGGGCCACCGAGCTGAGGGGCAGGCGAGAGGGGCCGAGAGGGGCCGAGAGGAGAGGGGCTGAGAGGAGAGGGGCCGAGAGGGGCCGAGAGGGGCCGAGAGGGGCCGAGAGGAGCCGAGAGGAGCCGAGAGTCTCCTCCTCCCGCCTCCGCGACCCCTCCTCCTTCTCCTCCCAGGGCGGCGTACAGCGACGCCGCCGCCGAGCGCCGCCGCGTGAGGCTGTTTTCGTGCTTCTCGCCGCCTCCGCCGCCGCCGCGCGCCGAGCCGGCGGCGTTGCCCCTCGCCGCTGCGCTCGTGCAGCTGCGTGCGGTGGACGTGCTGCTGCGCGCGCTGCGAGCCGAGTTGCTCGTGGCTGAGGCGGCGATGCACCTCGCGGAGAGGAGGTGGGCGGCGGCGGCGACGCGGACGCTGAGCCTGACGCCTCTGGCGGAGCGGCGGAGGAGCTGCCATTCTCTTGCTCGGCGCATGCCCATGGCAGTGACGCGTCCATGACCACGCGTCCGGTGGCATGCCCTGCAGGCGTGCCGCCTATGCGAGCAGGCAGCGGCGGCTCCTCCTCTCGCTGCTGGGCGAGGTGCGGCGGGCGCTAGGCACTTCCCAGACACTTCCTGTAGACACTTCCCAGACACTTCCTGTAGACACTTCCCTAGACACTCCCTAGACACTCCCTAGACACTCCCTAGACACTTCCTAGACACTTCCTAGACACTTCCTAGACACACACACTGCTGATGTCCGCAGGTGCAGGCGGTGCTGCTGGCTCGCCCCTCGCTCTCCGCCTTCGGGGCAAGTGCGAAGGCCTAGATGTGGGCCACATCTCCCCACATCTACATCTCCCCCCATCTCGAGGCCCGCATGTGGCGCATCTCCCCACACCTCCCCCCACATCTCGAGGCCTGGATGCGGAGATCAGATCTGGGGAGAGATGGGAGCTCAGTCAGCGGCATATGCTCCCGAGACGCGCGTCCAGTGCGGGTTCCACCTCCCTGGGGGTAGGGGATCCCCTACCCACACTGGAGCCGAACCCTGGGGAGATTGCGATCTCGCATATTCAGCGGTGGGCTGCTTCGAGACGTGCTCGGCTGTACTCCGCTGCAGTCGCTGTGCTCCTGTGGCTTCCGTCTCTTGCGCGCTGGATCCGTCGTACGGCACACGCTGGAAGGACGGGCCGGCGGCAGAGACTATGGCAGAGACTATGGCAGAAGGACGGACCGGCGGCAGAGACTATGGCAGAGACTATGGCAGAAGGACGGGCCGGCGGCAGAGACTATGGCAGAGACTATGGCAGAAGGACGGGCCGGCGGCAGAGACTATGGCAGAGACTATGGCAGAAGGACGGGCCGACGGCAGAGACTATGGCAGAGACAGAGGCGCAGATCTCAAGCCCATGCCGCACAGGAGTGTCGTGAGAGAGAAGAGAGAGGAGGCTGGTGACGGGCGACCACGGCCAGAGAAAGAACCAAAGCAGAGGCCCACCTCCCTTTGGTGCCTCCATGCTGCAGGTGCGGAAAGCGCGCTCGCCCGCCGCGTGGCCGCCGCAACGGCTCAGCGGGAGGGGGGGGCGGAGGCGGGGGGCGGGGAGGGAGGCGAGGTGCGAGGTGCAGCAGAGAGCAGGACGGCGACGGCGACGATGGAGGCGACGGCGACGATGGAGGCGACGGCGACGGCGGCAGCGGAGGCGGAGGCGGCAGCGGAGGCGGAGGCGGAGGCGGGCACGGGCGCATTGACACCGGAGGCGGCGTCGCAGGAGGCGGAGGCGTGGGCGACAGCCGCGCGCAAGATCACTTGCGACTCCCTCGCCACCCTCTTGGTGCCTCTGACGGCGGCAGACCGAGACTTGGCCGTGCCGGAGGCGCTGGCGGCGGCGGCGCGTGCTTCACTCGAGGCGCTCAGCGAGTGGGGGGGGGGGGGGGGGTGCATGTGCATGGGTGCATGACCATGACACGTCCATGACATGTCCGGGACATGTCCGATCAGGCGGCGGTCTCGAGCACCGCATCGGAGACTTGTCCATGACACGTCCATGACACGTCCGGGACATGTCCGATAGGCGCTCAGCGAGTGGCGGGCGGACGGCGGCGCCGACGGCCTGGCCGCGGCGCTCGACATTGTTACCGCCATGGGCCCGGTGCGGCGCGAGGGGCTGGAGCGGGCGAAGCTGGTGCGTGGACGGCGCGGGCGGCGGCTGAGCGTGGTCCGCCGCCGTCGCCCTCTCGGCGCCAGGTTCGGCGGAAGGTGTTCCCTCCTAGGCGCGGGCGGCGGCTGAGCGGGCTGAGCGGCGACGCGGTGGCCGTCGCCGCTTCGCTCGCGTTGCACAACGCGGTTGCGCCGCACTGGCACGCGATTCGGCGCGGCGGCGCGGCGTCGGTGCGGTTCGCCGGCGGCATCGCCGAGCGGCGTTTCGTCGCTCCGGTGCGCGACACTTCCGAGACACTTGCCTCGATATGTTGCCTCGGTATGGGCGAACGTGGACAGGAGACGACAGACACTCTCTCTCTCTCACACACACACACACACACACACACACACACACACACACACACACACACACACACACACACACACGCACACACACACACACACGCACGCACACAAGCTTGCAAGACACTCCCTCGCTGGCGCCACCTCTTCACACGCGCGCCGCGTTTCTTTTTTTCAGGTGCGCGAGATCGCTCTCGAGCTCCTCAACCGGCGGCAGCCTCTGAGCGAGCCGACCGCCGTCGCCGTCCCCTAGAAGCGGAATCCACGTCCTCTTGTACTCCAGCCGGCGCTCGAGAGGACACAGACTGCGCCGGAGTCAACCGTATATTCGGCCGTGTTCACTGCATCCGTAGCCATTCTCGCCCGCATGCGGTGCTCTGATGACACAGCGCAAGGCCGCACTCGCCCTGAGGTTGGTGTGTTCACCGTGAAGACTCTGCACAAGTCTCGAGGTTGGCGTGTCCACCGCGCAGGTCGAGGACGCCGAGGCGTCGCTCGAGACGATGCTTCAGGACCTCTACCCGAGCGAGCTCAAAAAAAGAAATCGTCGGCCCAGCGCGGATTTCTGTTTGTAGGACCTTTACCCGAGCGAGGGCCTTAGCCGCGCCGAGGCGCTCGCGGCCGCGACGCGCGCATACGAGGAGGAGATGCGCGCGGGTGCCGTGTGCAACCTGCTCTCAGGGAAGATGGTGCGTTTCTTTTTTCAGGTTGCGTTTCTTTTTTTCAGGTGCTGTGCGCAACCTGCTCTCAGGGAAGATGGTGCGGCTGCTGCTGCTGCAGGCGCTCCCTCGCCCTCCTCTCCAGCGCTCCTCCCCTCCTCTGCTTCCCCTCCTCCACCCGCTTCGCCCCCCCCCCACCCCCCACCACACACACACGCACACACGCACGCACGCACGCACGCACGCACGCACACGCACACGCACACACGCACACGCACGCACGCACGCACGCACGCACGCACGCACACACGCGTTGTGATGCCCCCACAGGTCCAGGCGCTCAAGCTGCAGTCCCTGCGCGCGATGGACACGCTCGACCGGCTTGTCGACTCGAACAAGCTCAACCTGCAGCTGTTCGCCACGCTGCCCGCCTGCCTCCTCGCCGTCGCCGCGTCGCGCCTCGCGCGCGCCGGCGCGACGGCGCCCTGCCGCGCGGCGCCAGCTCAAAAAAAGAAATCGGGGCGCCCGCACGCAGTATTTCTTTTTGTAGGCGCTCCGCCGCGCGGCGCACGGCAGCGCAAAAAGGAAACGGTGCCGCGGACCAGCGCGGCGGATTTCGTTTGGTAGGCGCTCCGCGCGCGGCGCCTCCTCACCGCGCGCGCCGCGCACGCCGAGGTTGGGGAGCTCCTGCACAGCGCGGAGCGGGCGCTGACCCTTGCCGGAGACGGCAACCTCGGCGCGGAAGGCTTGGGCCTCCTGGTGGCGCTGCTGCACGCCGCGTTGCTGCTGCTCGACGTCTACAGCACCGCCGCCGCCTCGCGCGCCGCCGCCGCCGCACTGCGGTGGGAGCTGCAGGAGCTGCTGGGGGCGGCGGCGAGGCTTCCCGCGGCCGCCCAGGCGCGGCTGCTGCGACTGGCGATGGCGCGGCACGCGCGGCTGTCTGTGGGGTAAGATTTGTCTCTCATCAGCGCTGTCACGATGTTTTTCACGCTGCGGCCAAAGAGCACAAGGGACAGTATACTACGACGCGCTCCACAGACGTCTCCATGTCAAGAACGGAATCGTCAAAATTTGTCTCGTCGAAAGCCAGGGCGGCATCGCGCCGCCAACCAAGAGAATCATCTTCAACTTCGCCAAAGAGGTCGCGGCAGCCCGAGTGCCGTCGACCGCACCGACTACGGCACAGCCTCGCTCCGGCAGCGCCCGGGGCTTCGCCCAGCACCACTCGCAACAGCTCTCGCGCGCCGCCGTCTGTGGCGACGCGCAAAACATCAACAACGCTGCTCGTAACATGCGTGTCGCGCTGTCATTCATGACCGCAGACCGGTCTCAATGTCCCACCCCCCTGCGCGCGGGCCTTCTAGGCCCGCGGGTAGTCCCCCCCCATCCCCAGGGCAGCCTCCAGGGCTCGCACCTCAACAAACAAAACACACCCTGTCTGCACGTCTCGCGCGCGCGTGAACAGGGCTCCAGGCCCCAAATTACGTGTGAGTGTTAGAGTTGTTTGGTATTCTGCAAAGGGGTGTGAACGGAGAGAGCAAACTCCTGGCAGCTCCCACAGCCGAAATGTGCGCCAGCTGCCCGCTCACCTGTGTCACGCCGCCGCGCACGCACCTCGCTATGTGCTCGCGCGAGCTCCCGCCCGAGCCTCCAGCTCGGTGTCCCACTGCTGCGGAGCC